ACGTGCAGCCAACTACTGGTTACTATGACGCGGCTCTGGGCTATCAGACGACTGGTCCTGCTACGAGTCTCGGTGGTGGCAGAGGTGATGCCCTATCTGGTGTGCAAGGTGTACAGGGTGTCCAAGGAGTCCAAGGAGCCTATACCAGTATTAGCGACGCCAGGTTTGCTAGAAACGACAGCAACGCATCGCCAGTTCCTTCCACTATGTCGCAGCAGGTGAGTTTCGTTGACCAGCTTAGAGTCGTCGCTAAAAAAAAAACGTGATGTCTAAAAATTTCAAATCTTATGGGATTTGCAGACCGCCACGCAGCATCAACAACCAATGATAAATCCTACTCTTCCTCCGGGATACGCATACGCATTTACTTACGGTAGCGGGATTATGCCGGGAGGTTTTCAATATGGAACTCCTGCCATTTATCCGGTAAGTTTTGTGCTTCCAACGAATACTTTGCTGTTTGTGGCTCCTTCTGAAATGGATCGACGAATGCTAAGATCGAACTGATTTATATCATAGCAAATAGCAACGGCCGGCAACGCCGGGACAAATAGCGGCGCGTACAGTGCTAAGTCGGGTAGCTATGGATCTGGTTATGGCGCCGGTGCGAGCTACGATGCACTGGCTTCCGCTGGCCCGTCTGGAGAATATAAGGGAGCCGGTAGTAGTTACACCGGAACTCAAACCGGTAAAACTGGCACTTCCACGGGAAACACTAATACCGCTGGTTCTTCCGCAACAGACATCAGCGCTACGATGTACGCCAAGAGTCATGTTGCTCTTGGTAAAGTGAATGTAAGTAGCACATTTCAAAAGTAATCGTTGTTAGAAACGTCTGTATGTTACGCGCGTATGTTCACTCAATCGATCCTTTTAGTCTTACGAAAAACAGACTTTCCACTCGGCTACGCCACCACCGTTCGGTCTTACGGGTAGTCAAAATGCTGGTTTGCCCGGTGGTTACGGTGCCCCGCACTTATTCATCCCGACTATACCACACCAGCTGCATCAGCCGCTTCATCAGGATGGCGGCAACAGCGGCAACCAAAGGTCCAACACGAGTTCGCAGAACAAGGCTCAAGCGAAGCCTGGATATAGTCCTAGTTATTGGACCGGTAGCAACTAAACACAAAGAAAAGCAAAAGACAAAGTTTTGAACGCGACATAAAAGAAGGACGAAGTAAGACCATAACATCCTACTAGTAGAATAACAAATCGTCCTTTGTCGTGAAGCGCGATTGTGTGACATAGAGACTTTGACGTTGTCAATAGTTAAAAATGACGCATAAAATTGATAAACGAGAGACTTCACTTTTTTTTTTGAAAATAACACGAGTCAATGTGGAATGAAGAGTGAATACTTTTGAAAATTGAAAGGTATATGCAATTATTGACCGGATGCTTCCTTCAATAGTAATGAATAACCAATTTTCGTCCCCTCCTGTGTATGCTGTATACTACATTCACTTGTACTTGATAATTTATTTGTTCAGTTTAGCACACTCGCAAACTTCTCCAAGAGACTGGCGTAGAGCGCGATATCACAATAAAATAATTCCTTGCATTTTATGCGGTGATATACGTGCAAATCCTATATGTAATAATTTGCATATTCCTTCTTAACTGTGAATTGCACTCGTGCCAAATGAAATTGTAGCGTTTGTAACGCGATGGATTGCGAAAGACGGATTATCGTCTGTATAGATTCCGTGAATTCCATGACGCGACCATGTCACAGAATTCATGATAAATCATCTGGCACGTCGTAGGATATGACGAAGCCAGTATCGCGATCTTCTCGTATGATGCACCGGAAAAGAAACTAGAAGAATAACATCCGTCGAGTTCGCACCAGATCTCCCGTTTGTACATTACAGTGCAATTTCGAACGTATTATATTTGACTGCTAATTATAGGGTGATAATAGTGTGTCTTTATATTGTTCTCTTTTCTTTTTCTCGTGTATGTAAGCATCTTGGCTTAATAAATATGAAAAGCGCATCTTTGTGAGGTAGCATAGAGTTGTTTCCGTAAAAGGGACGAAAATAAAGATGTACGCGTGAAACGTACATACGCTTGTATAAATTTATTATTATCGCGTTTTGTAGCGTTTTTATTTTTGGTTCATCACAGCGACCTTGTGAAAAGTAATAATCGTTGCACTCGCATATACTTGGTTTAATCGCGTTACACATCTTTGTGATTAGTGGTGATTTTTATTACTCATTAATATGCATATATGGTGTTTATTCCATATTATATTGAAATTATTGCATATAATTTCGATTAAAAATGGAAAACTACATACGCAACTCGCATTATTTCTAAGTGTAGTTAAAAAGAAATCAAATATGCCACAAATATGTAGTAAAAATAGTGCACTGTTCTTTTATTACTTTTATACCTGTCTTTATCTTTTGTCTTGCTTTCCGCACATTTGATTAAATTCGACACAAAATGATGTAGGTCTTTATAAGATTGACAACAATTGCGTTTTTTATTCTATTAGAATCTCCTGAATTATGGATTATAAGAAGAGTATACTACGATTCACAAATTAGTAACTTTATGTAAAAAAATATTGCTATATTTTTTGTTCTTCGTTCATTAATTTAGGTCGGCACTTACGATGCCATAAGTCATTTAATTGATAAAAATTATGTTGAAAATTTTGTATATTATTACTATCAAGAGATTGTTTGGAAAGTATTGACATATCTGAAAACGTTACGGATTATCATTTGGCATACTAGTGCATTTCTAGATATACCAAAAAGAAAATAAATAATTTCTTTCAAGGAAAGGATTGGTTCTCATCAGATTAGCAAGTCCTAATCTTTATTATATCTCAAAGTTTTCGCAGAAAAACGTCAAAGACGTCAAATCAAAAGTTGCAGTTTTTTGACAGTTTGCTCGAAAAATAGCCGCATATTCTCGCTCATGATGCATGTGATGCAAAGTACATGATGCAGAGCACGTGATACACGCTTGAGAGATGACATGTGATGTTTTTCCATTGCAAAAAAAAAACAATGTACACGTTCTTTGTTATCTAGTATACGCAGTAGAGACGAGTTAATTTGTTTAAGAAATCATGAATGATTAAAATGAAGACGAGACTTGACATGACCGATTATTGAGACGACTGAGCATATATAGTAACGGCGTATATGCAGTAACAGTGATTAACAGCGATATTTGTATCTTTCATTACAAGATTGTAATAAAAAACAAACAAACAAAGAAAGAAAGGAAGAAAGAAAAGAAGCCATTATCGATTCCGTCTGGTGTACACATTCGTTAATATTACATTATTCATGCTGATTAGAGGTGCGCGAACTGTATAGCTATATACATATTAATCGGAACGAAATGATACACATATATTGACCAACAATGGAACACACATATTTTGAAGATATACTTTACATTTTTGCATTGTGAATAAAATGAATGATCGCAGATATTTCTCTGATGAAAGAGAGAGAAAGAGAGAGAGAGAGAAAGAGAGCGAGAGAAAAAAAAAGAACGAGAACAAGTTCAAAGCAAATACGTCGAACGAACGAGAGAAATAAATGTATGTGAATCGTTTTTCACAAAGGTGCTGTGAGAATTGTTACGACTTGCGTGTACGATAAACGTGAGGAATAATCTTTCTTCTAGCACGAATACTATGGACTGACGAGTCCGATGGTCGACAAAGCTTTACCGCTAATATAAAAGCGAGAGGTAAATAGTTGTAAGTAAACTCTTGTTAGCGATTGCATATATATACATATATAAATATATAAATACATAAACTCGTATATATATAAATATATACATAAAAAATGCGGTATGAGTAGGATGTTTTGAAAAGATTAAGACCAAATGTAGATTAGCTTCCTTTTTTTTCGGAGAAAAGTGTAAATCTGTACTCATATAAATTCTCGAAAGAAAGAAAGAAGAGAAAATTGGATTTTACATTGATTACTTCGCTATGGTCGAACGTGGACTATTATAGCCACTTATTACGAGTTAAAATACGCGTTAAAATGTACACGCAGTCGGCATCAACGAAGGAGCGATTGATGATCGACTGGGAAAAGCAAGTAACGTTTTCGTTCTATCTTAGTGTATGTTTTATAGTCGACTCTCAGACTTCATCGTGTATACTCGAATCAACTTAGGACAAAAGAAGTATACTAAGTGTAATGTATAATGGAAAGTGATGGGAAAAGATGCAAAATATTATGGGGGAAGCATTAAAAACGAAGAAAAAAAAAGAGAAAGAGAGGGATAAGATTCAGAGTTAAGCACGTTTGTTCTCATATAATTATACATTAATAATTTTTGTATTTTTGTCAAATATTAACCGAGCGAGAGAGAATGCACGATATATGCATTACTCAACTATTGCTATTATATGATTAATAATAATAATAATAGCTACTACTGTGTATAAATATGGATATATAAGAATAAATGTATTAAAGAAGTCTGGCGATTTACATATCCGTGGTGCAAATATTTGTATTATGTTCCCGTGCATTTAACGCTTTCCTCGATTTCTTTAAAATAACTTTTTCCCGATGACATAAAATTCCTTATAAATTGTAGTAAAAGTTGCTCCATTCGCAAGATATCTACTGTGCTTATTTTGAAATTCGCGGCCCGCTCGAATCGATTGATCGAAGGCGAAGAGTCTGAACATGGGTGAAAGTCGAAGAAGCGTTAGAGGATATAACCTCTTAAAATAAAAATGGAAGAAATTGTCGATACAAGTGATTTTAATCGTGAGTATTGTTAATAAACAATATCCTTTGGGAAAAGCGGAGAAAGTTGGAACAACTTCTCGAACGATGGCTGTTAAAACGATCGAAGAGGAAGACAGGAAGATAAGAAGTAAGACGTCGCTGACTGAAGAAATTACACGATGAGCGCGTTTACGATCGAATAGGATCGATTTGTCAATTTAAAATTAATCTTGAATAGTAGAAACGAAAAAAAGTCGCGCGCATTCTCAGTTACCTTATTTTATTTTATTTCCTCGGTGACTGCTTGTGTTTCTTGCGGAGATATGCGAAGTTTTGCGCTATACGCACAAATCGCGTCGTGTTTTTTCGTGTAGTTAATAGAAAAAAAGGTTGTGTCTCTTGAAATGCTTTTGTGAAATATTACAAAACGTTACGCGTATATCGATGACAGAAGTACAAATCGGTAACGTCGAGGCTGGAACATCGCGGAAGATGGCTACTACGTGGCATCAACAGGTATTTGCACTCGACGCAAAGTATAATACACTGCGGGCTAATAAGCTCCCCAGTCTGGGTATGTTTAACGTTTGTTTTTACTTACATTATTTTAATCAGTTGAGTTAGCTTTCATTATTTTTGAGTTTTCCTGTTATAGGTATGTTATACATTCGTCGAAGGAATCAACTGCTTAGGGAGAAATTTTCTACTGATCCAGAGATTGGCGCACGATACTTGAAATTACGGTCAGAACTATTACGGCGACGTTATGGAGAAAAATTGGAGCAAAACAGTGTGGGAAGTCGCACTATAAGTGAAGAATCGTCGGAAAACAGAGCGAGATATCAGCATGTACAACGAAAATCAACAGCAGAGAATTTTGCATTCGCCGGAGTCCATCATGTTTTTGATCAGCACAAGGTGGCTGTAACAATGCTCAAGTTTGCCAATAATGATAGGTCCAAATTATGTTGCGCATCGTTGGATGGTACATTGTCAATATGTGAAGTCGTCAGTACACCTCCAAAGGTGATTGCTCTTTTGGAGGGCCATCGTAACGGTGTAACTGCACTTGATTGGAGTATCAGCAACGATCTGATTGTTTCTTCCTCTTTGGACGCGACAATAAGGCTGTGGAGAGTATGCACGGATGTAGAGCCGGTTTGTTTGCGAGTAGTGGACGATCAACAGCGAGCAGAAGTCCTCTGCTGCAATTTCATACCTGCCAATAATAATTTAATAGTAGCTGGCAATTCTCAAGGATTGATCCAGACCTTGAATGTATCTACCGGCATATATACGCGCGGTGGATCCTGCAAAATCGGCGGAAAGGTCAGTTTTATCTCTATATAGGAAAAGAGCGATATTTAAAAAGCAAGCGTATAAATGGCTTTGTCGCGATTTTAGATTCTTTCCCTGGCATGCGAGGGCAGCGGTGGTTCAATGATCTGGGCAGGCAATGACAGAGGCGTTATAGTGGCTTTTCGACTAGAAACTGGCATAGGACGGTTGACAAAATTGCAAAGAGTGCAGGAGATTGGTGGAATGATAACCAGTCTCTCCTGGCGTTCTTGGCTATCAAAGGATGCTCCTTGGGCTGCTTTATTAGTAAGCAGCGCGTGCAATGCCGTACTATTATATCGTGTTGCAAACAATCATGGTTCTTTATACTTTTGGAGAAAGTATCCTATCAAACATAGGTTATTATTTTTATCATGTAAAAAAAAACTTCGTGTTTTTTGTTTATGATATAATACTGTATATTTGCGTGTACTTTTTGTAGACTATATCCCTTGAGGTCTACTTTCTGTCCACAAATGGGCGCGTGCTTAATTGAAGATGGTGCCGTTCACTTGTTGGATTCAGCGAGAGAGGGGAAGGCCGCTAGGATCAATCGACTGCACGGTCATGCAACACCTGCATTAGCTTTGTCTTTTAATTATGACGAATCTTTACTCGCATCTGCGGATCATGACGGATTGATTATCCTATGGCGTAATCATCAACGTAATTTATAAAAAGTTGTGAGGAATTTTATCAAACTAAAAAAATGGCTCGCATTCAGGTTCTTCGGGCTTTAAAGCAAATTACAAAAATATTACGACATAATAATAAATATGCCAGTGTAAAAAACGATGTATAAATGTATAAAAATTTATCTAAGATATATTTAGAATAAGATTTTACTATTATTATATATACATTTGTACATATAATAAAAGATGTATATTTAAATAAAAATAAAAGTATTGTATATAAAAAATTAGAATACTTAAAGATGGTTTTTGATGGAATAAACTGATATCTTCTGTATAACAATATATTAATTGTTCTCTATTTTAGCTTATGTCATAGTGAGCACAAAGCAGTATCAGTAATAATAAGTGTGGTAATAGCGAGAAACGTCTGACAGCACTCACGGTGCTACGGTAGCAGCGATTTGTTTCTATTTCTTAATATCGCGTGCATCGTGAAACGACAGTGGCACAAATTCCCACACGGTTTTCTTACGATACTAAACTATATTTGCATTTCGATACTGTTTCATTGATTCGTTCTAATTACAACAGTCTCTTTATGTTCCAGGACGAATAATTATACAATTATACAGAGATACATTATTGCAAACAAATATTTGTAAAAATTTCTCTAAAACAGCATTTGCGATCGTACTCATTTTATGGTTTATCGAGTTTCCGCGAATATTTTAGATCTATAGAATATCCTTTACACACACAATGTATCATATTGAACTTATTAACAGTTACTTGTTTGTATTGCACACTTTTATATGGTATCGTGAAGCAAATATACCGTAAACGCACAAAGTTATCTGTTAGCAGAAAGGTATCTGAGATTCCTGTTCGAGATTCGATTTCCGTTATATTACTACAGTAAAGGCAAATGTTTCTATAATATGATCGCTTTTTTTTATCACGCATTCGAGTAAAATAAACCGGTTTGAAGGATTCTCGCTTTAGTACAATATACGCGAATTTTCAACTCAAATATATTTGACAATGCAAGAGCTTTTGTCTTGTTTCTCATTAAATATAATATAGTTCCAAATCCAATATAAAACATATCAATGTACGCACTATACTCTTCTCATCACAGATCTATAATAAAAGTAAAAGTCTATCAATACATCGTGTATATATCATATAGAAAATTAGTCGTGCAAATATTTTCATGTTTTTCCTTTGCCACCTTGAATCCTTAAAAGTGGGATGGCAGTCCCATATACTTTACTATACAATACTTTGATAGTAGAGAGCAGATTTGTTAATAATGTAATTAATATCAAGAAATATGACAATGAGTGTTGGCAAAGAAGAACAAGATGACGTGAAAGACGGTTATATGGAGTTTCTTATAGAGGAGTCACAAAAATAATTGTTCTACATAGGCACTACTGCTCGTTTAACAATTACACTATAAATAATAATTATTTACACGCATAACGAATTGTTCATCGTAATTCGATGTAGCTTCTACAAATCGATTGTTAGAATTAATACTCATATGTCCACTTTTTATACAGCTCCTCCATTGTTATTTACTTTGTTCTACCATGACTACCGTCATACGAATAAGCTTTATTAATAATATAAAGCCGCGACTATTTATATACGTTTTTCCGTATTTGTTACAGAACAGTCATAACAACTTCGCTAACAAGATCCATTAGACAACCGATCGATTTGTATAGCCTCGAGTAATATTGGCTACATCTTTCTTATATACATTTGTTCGAGATTCGTGTCGTAGTAATAATCTCATCGGTGATAATCAACCAGATCGCGTGTGCGCTAACAAAGAGAATCACCACATTTTCACGACGAGATTGTTTCGGACGGATTTGTGTATACTAACTGTCCTAAAATTCCATTACAGACTTTAGTCTCATTTTAATCACGAGCTAAAACACTGCACTTCTCGGTGGGCTCCAGCGTCTCTTGACTATCACACTGAGAAATTCTTGTAGAAGATGAACCGACCTGAACATCTTCATGAGGCACCTTTGGCAATGTGTCATTTATTGAACTCGATACAATATATTGGTCCTGCGTGACGACTTTCTCTAAGAGTTCCGGTTCGTGATTCTCTTTAATATCTATTTGCTCGTCTTCGAGCGATTGTCTCGCAGGAACAAATGGGGCGGACGGTATTCCATTCGACGATACCAAGTTTAATTTCAAACGATCTCTAGTGTGTCTTAACTCTCCTAACTGATGCTGCTGACATTGGTCATATTCATGCGCGAAATCAACGTTGTTCTGGTGCAGCTCTTGTCGGCAACTATCTGTTTCATCCTGATCGTCGGAAAATGAAGCCGCGTTTGCACCAGGAAAAAATTGGCTGACGTACTTACTTTCACCAGTTTGAAACTGAAAGGGTCGATTTGAACTAGATACAAAAAATTCTTCGTTTCCTGTAACAAAAGTAAATGCCATCTTGCATTATATAGAAATTGAAAAAAAAATATGTGACATATTGTATAAAAAGCCTTGGTGAATTCACACATACCAACATGATTGGCATCATCATAATCTAACGGATATAGGTCTAATCGTGGTTCATTCATCATTTCTTCCCAATCTATAATATAAAGAATAGTAAATGAATCGTTTATTTTTATTCCAATCCAGACATTTGTCTTTCTAATGTTCAACTTGAGAGATATTTTTCATAGATGCAAAATGTTTATCGACTGTATGCAAAAAGTATACCAGAATATGACGTTGGTTCCGAGTTGGTAATAGTATCCGCTTGACTGTCCGCTGGTAATGTTTCCTTCGGGTACTCATACACGCACTGATAGCGTTGTTTCTTGAACCACACACTCTTCTTCTGATCCTAGACAAATCATGCATTGTCAATTCGATCGTAGGGAAATATATGCTTATACCTATATTTAGCATGTTTAGTGTGTACATTCATGAAAAGTATGTGCGCTAAGTACCTTGAAAGAGTCACGGGAGAGGAATGTTAAAACTACATGCATTGCTCTGTACTTAAGTAATCGACACACCTACCAACTCATCCTAGCGGCGATCAAAAGAATGAGAAGAATATCATTAATGATCACTGATTGTGATATAAGGATATGAGTGCGAATAATTTTGTATATGTAATATTTATTATTTGTATAGTATTTACTCCTGATTTTAACGTTTTGTCCGGAGACCTCAGTGCCGATCGATGTGGTGCTAAAGCAGCATTCCAGGCCGAAGGTGTAAATTCTTCTTCCTCCTCTTCGTCCTCGACAGCTAATTCTTCTAATTCGGCACTCGTCGCTGTATTCGTTTTATCGTTATTCACAGTACTTTTGATTCGTATCTGCTCGATGTGTAGCTCGTTATACCTCTATAAGACATAAGTTTTGATCGAGATTTGGGGAGAAAAAAAAAACAAGAGATATTTAATGCCATATTATTTTTGAAACGACATACCTTCCACACAAATTCACCGGAACTAGAACTGTTATCCTCATCTTCTTCTCCATCTTCATCTTCTTCCTCCTCCATTTCCTCTTCTTCCTCCTCTTCGTCTTCATCTTGACTACAGCATTCGCGTTCGGTAACAAAACTCGTCGACATCAAATCGTCTTGCAACGGTAAAGGTAAAGGCAAAGGTAGTGGGAAAGACGAAGGTAACTGTTGCCATTTGGATTCTTCCTCAGGACTCGGTAACGGCGCACCTCCACTCGTTTTCACGATATGCGACTTATCCTCTAACGGACGTGTTACTGAACAAGTGTAATCTAAATTTTCCTCCTCGGACAGATCGCCGTTCGTCGTATCTCGATCGTCATCCTGCAATCGTCCCTCCAACAATATCATTTCATTCGTACGAGTATCCACCAACAGCATATCTTCGGACGGCACCGATTCTCTCGAAGCGACGGACGTTTCTCTAGAATTCGACACTAAAGACTCAGAAGTGACTGTACTTTCTCGCTCTTCTAGGATAGGACTAAGCGGCGTTCCATATACATTGTACCTGGACGTAATAGAAAAAATTCATATTATACTAATAAATAGAAAAAAATTACTATTTAATTTTTTGTTAAATCTATTTTCAAAGATCCATACCTGATCGAAATGTCTACACCTCCGCTAACTTGATTGGCTAAATCTTCGCCATCTTCATCGTCCCACTGTTTGCCGTACGCGTCGTCAGAGATGGAAGAATTTTCGTCATCGTGTGCTTCCAAGGATTCCACGATCTGCATCTGAGCCTGAGGCAACTTTTCCCTGAGTTCGTTACGAATCGCCGTTACGAATTCTTCCTCCATACTGAACGACACATACGAGTTGTCGCTACGTAAGCTCACTGTTGAACTGTCCTCATCCTCATTTTCGTAATCTCCCAATGAGCATTCATCTCGCTGAGTATTGAGGGCGTCCAATTTTAAGGCGCGTGTTTCCACTTCTGAATAGTGTGATTGATGGATATCACTGTTCGCTGTAAATACCTGCATTTTTTCAGGAGTTATGTCCTTATTTTCCGTTTCGATGTCTTCTACCGTACTTTCATATTTCACCCGATTCGAACTTTGTTTTGTATCGTTTAAGTGAGTCGAATCGGAATTGGTAACGTCAACTTTAACAGAAATGTGATTTAAGTCAAAAGTACTTTGTTTCGAAGGCAACATATTCTTCTCGATGTCGGATGTGGAAATCACACCTTCCGTTATACTATCAGGACCAGCGGAAGTAGCATAATATTCCGCGTCGAGAATAGTGTCTAGCTCAAATAGAATTTGGAATGGTTCTTCTTCGGAATATGACGATCTGGAAACTGCAGTGCTATTTATTGAAGACAGAGGATTGCCGGATGAACAAACTGCTTCCTCTTCCTCGCAAGATTCCTTATCTCGAAAACCAGAATCGGAACTTTGTTCATCATCCGGCGTGGATAATTGCTTTCTCTCTTCCTCGTCATCATTTGGCAATGGTTTTCGTTCCGCATTTTCTACAATAGAAAAACTATCATCAGTGGTATAAATCGAATAGGTGTTACAAAACTGTGGTGCATCTGGCGTAGACGTAGTCAGTTCTGGTGCACTAGTATTATTTTGCTCAGTCGATGCGTCTATGTATTCGTTGAATTCTGCTTCATCTGAGAAGCCTGGTACTTTGTGTTGTAAAGCGGAATCTAATGCGTGATTCCAAAGTAAAACGTCTACTGTATTGGTCTCAGCATCTTTCACATTAGGAATACGGTCGCTGTCCCCTTTATTGACGAGAGATATATCGCGCATCTCATGGTCCTCCTTCTGTTCTACTTCTTCATCGGAAAACATTTGGTCAGGTACATAGCGAAGAAGGGGGACGTTTGAATTCCCATTCGACAAGAGTCTTAATATATGTTTTTCACTGTCGCGTTGCTTATTACTCACATTTACGTTAGATTGTGCGCTATTGTTATCTTCCGGAGTTTTTCTCGTATTGTCCAAAGAGAGACGTAAGATCGGCATCTGATTTTGATCTGTGATCAAAGTTAAGACCTTTGGCTGTTGTATATTTTCTATAGACCAGACTTTATTGGTAGCGTTGCTCGGTAAAGGATCTCGTAACTTCTTCAACGCTTCATCAAACTCATCTGCAGGCACGGTATGTCTAAGGTCGCTGTCGCTACCGGTCACGGGTAACTTCTTTTTGACATTCTTCTCCGACGTTTGCGCTCCCATTGACCATTCTGCGTCGGAATCAGGATCGATATGTACAAGCACCATAAGATCCGTTACAGACTTGGACTTCTGTTTGACTTTTTCAGTATATACACCCTGCTCGATTCGACCCTTCCAGCTTTCTTCCTCGGTTTCCGAGCCAGATTCTTGAAATACAGTGGCAGTCTTTATTTTGGGAATATTCCTCACTTGTTCGTCAGGTCCAAGACGAAACGAAGACTGTAATGAGTCTGTCGTTTGTGCATCATCCACGATATGAGTCCAGTAGTCGGAATCAATACTACCACGTAGATCTTGTAAGCTAGCACTGCGTACATGCTGTTTGCAAGTATTCGCGCGTAAACTCTCCCATCGTTGCTCAAAATCTATGTGTGCTGATTGTTCATTCAGAAGAATCAACTTTACATCGTCCAAGGAAGGTCTGTCTCTCGCGTTGACATTTAAACACAAGCGAATCATTTGAAATATATTTGGCGGACAATTAGTGAGATAATTTTGCAATAGTTTTGTGCCGTTTGGCACAAATTGATTTTTCAGAGATAGAATCATCTGAATGACCTGTTCGTCGTTCATATCGTTGTAAGGTCTTTCTCCCCAACTAGCGATCTCCCAAAGGAGAACTGCGTAACTCCACATATTGGCTTGTAACGTGATCTCTTGCGTTTCGATGGTAGTGTCTGTACAATTCAAACTTTCTGGCGCGGACCATCTGATAGGTAAGGCTCGGTCTCCTACTATATAATAGTCTTCGGGATATTTCTCTACACCAGTACCGTAATCACCTAACTTGGCCGATAAGTCTGGAGCAATCAAACAGTTCCTCGCGGAGAGATCCGTATGCGCAAAGCCATGATTATGCATGTGTTTTAAACCAGACGCAATATCTATCGCAATTCGTATTGGAACATTTTCCTTGGCAAGTGCTTCCCTTGACTTGCTATCGCGGTTTGATAGCAAGAAACCTTTTAAATCGCCAGCTGGACACGATTCAAATAGTAGAAGGTACGGATCGGTTTCTAGGCAAAACCCAAGTAAAGCTAAAACATTTTGGTGACGTAGTTTTAAGTACGGCGTGGCTTCGCCAAGAAACCAAGCTTTTTCTCTGGTGGTAGCTTCTTCGGTGAGAATTCTTACTACTACGCCGCCTGATTTTGATATACCTTTAGACTGTTCCAAATCTGCTCGACCTTCAACGACTTTTCCAAACCATCCATGACCTATTTCCCTAAGATATTTGAGTTTCTCTCTGGGGACATAAAGCTCGTTGGAGTTAAACCATTCGCTACATGGTTCTTGTAGAATAGAGTAATCCGTATCTTGATCCTCGATACGCGGTGCTGACAAAGGTATCGCTTTATGTTTTGGAACACTTCTAGTTCCAGATACGATCGAATCCACCGGTAAGGGTTCAAATTGAACCCTTTCAGAAGCTGCTAATGTTCTGGAGGCATCTAATTCCAATCCTTCGACAGAGTGATCGAATGCATTTTCTTGTCCTGTGCTGCTCCCATCCTTGAATTCCTATAACGATATAACAGTGTCGTTTTATGCGCTTTTGCATAGCATGCTATGATACAGACATAAAGAAATTCTTGCTAACGTACTACGCATGCTACTCATAACATATCTAAAAAGGAGTTAAAACTTAGGGCGTTTCTAATAATTTAGAATTATAAAACATAATAAAATCATTTTTAAGATTCAAAGAGATATCATTAAATTATAAAGATCTAGCCCTACAGTAATATATGCACTATTTATATGTACTAACAGTACTAAACTCTATCTATAAGAACTTATCAAATACAATCTAAATAAGAAACATAATTTTTTCATTATTTAGGAATACATATAAAATATTATTGATATATATATATATATATCAATAATAGTTTATAAATACAGAATCTTCGTAGATAGAATCTGTACCACTTTTAAGATTAGTCAAACATTAATTTTGTTTACAGTCTCGTTTTTACTGGTAATTTATGTGGCAACAGATAAGGGACCTGCAACATCAATGTTACCTGATTGTATTTTTCTGCTTTGTCCTATAATTAAAAAATGCAGAGATTGGCGTCAGAGTTCAAAAACAATGTAGAATTTGAAAACATCACTTTTTCTATGTTTCTTAGGTACAAAAAATTAAATATAAAAATCTCTCCAAACTACCTGAAATCCTTTGGGTCTTCTATGTCTTTGGCAACAAAGACATCCAGCTAAAGTTAATGCCGTGGCGGTAACGCTCGACAGAGCAATTGCATAACGCATCCAATAACGTTCCCATTGCCAGGAAGTTTGTGATGAATCTATGACAAGAATGAAGTTATTCAACGCTAACTCTGATAATATTTAGTATCGTTACTATAAAGTCGGTTTCTTTATCGTTATACTAGACTACTACTTTCTATCTACACTTTCAACAAATTTCAAATTTATGTTTAACTATTTCTTTTTAAGTATGAGTTATATCAGTTTAGTCACAAAAAACAGACTTATATATGGATGCTTTTCATTTAATAACACAAACATTTTTTCTTTCTTGGCATTCCGTGAGTAACATGACAATGTCAATTTGTGTCAACTTGTGTCACAAATGGAAAGCATCCTATGTTTTCGTTTGTCACCAGCAGTTTATTTCTTTTATTAAAAAAATCAGGAGGAAAGCAACATTTAAACTTTTCTGTCTATAGAACAGTGTACGCATATGCACATATGTGATAGAATTTAAGAAACAGCAGGTCAATTGACATTCATGACAACGGCGTGTACTCTGCGAAGAAACTTGTGAACGACGTACCAGCGACGAGCGGTGATGGTACAGGGTAGGCTGCGAGCATCGGTAGACCCACCCAAAACAGCCAGCACATCCGACGTAGGTTCTGCATCGTATACCGAGACAGTTCCTTATCATCCACGTTATGATTCAGCAGCAAGCTGGCTTAGGTCATTCTTGTGTTCGCGTTGGCGGTGGCGGCGACAAGCCGCGACCGAAGAGACGGCAATTCGATAGTCGTCACAGACGTTACACAGGTCGACAACGCGCTCATAATCTTCGTTCCGCGTGCACCCTGCACCTTCGTAGCGACAGCGCTGGCGAAAGGTAGCAAAACGTACGGTAAGGCCTATCCGGGCCGTGCATGACACGGTACTCCCGTAGTGGCGTCGCGTGACGTTGCGTCGCCGACGAGCTCTAATGACACTGGAACTACTGGAAGAAGATCACTTTGCGCATGATGTGAAAAGACATGCTTTCCTTGGTTCCTTCGGTTCCTTCTCCACGCCAGGCACTCCGCGCATCATTCCCGAGCGGAAAAATGCTCGCCTAGAGGGAGAAAGCGCCGACAGATATCTCTGTCTTCACGTGCCGATCGCACATTTATATGTCAATGTATGTACACATCTGGAGGACTTCTTGCTGCGATTTGTGTACGTTAAAAATTCATTTGACATTATTCTGCATTATTCCATGGAGTAGGAAACAATTGGGTGTGAAATATCTAGCCAGGAGAGGGGATGTATGTAGACGATTACGTGAAAAGGACATGAGAGTCCGATTAACGATACGCCATGTTGTTGACACAGTTTCTAATGTTGAGTGAAGAAAAAACATTGGTCATTGGTGGTCAACAATATGACGCGTTGTGTTTAAATTAGCGCATTCGGGTTTCTTGATGTCACGCGAAAGCGTCGTTTTGTATGAACGTTTTGCTGATTTGTTTTAATCCCACGTTGTTTAAAGTTGAATTTTGTTGATCAATGAGGAAAATGCAAATTTAATGCTTCATATAAATTAGTATTTTATTTTAGAAATATGCTACATTCATGTAAAAATTGGCTAATAGGTGCTAGACGAATAATAACTGTCGAATTTGAGAAGTGGAATATACTGTGGATGGTTATTAAAAATTGGCCTATTTTTTATTTAAGCTTTGAAACTGTAAATTAAGCGTTTTAAAATTTGTGCCAAAAATTAATTCTATATCATGCCGTTTGTGGCGTTGAGATCGAAGACAAGTGCCATGTTCCTTCTATCTATAATATAGTCGCTGACTTTCTCCCCGCCATCTTGAAAAATCTCACACCAATTCGATAGTCGGTCGACACACTCGATAATTATTTTTCTTCCGGTTCTTTTCGTTATGGTTGCTTCTACGCTACACACGTGGTAAGTATTGAATATGGCTTGATCTTTATTATCGAATTTTTTCTTAGTAATCCGTTGTGTTAGAATATATATTTTACAATCATGATATATTATAAATTATTAAACGTCTTCGCAATATAATATTATTTGCAAATAGTCGTCTTTTATGATCTTTGCATATATATAATCTACCGTCTATACAAGGATACATATTTCAACATAAATTTGGTTTAGCTTTTTGAAATTCTTTGTTTTGATCAATAAATATATAAAAGAAGGGCTACGAGCCAGTTACAATATAAAGAATATTTAATATTCGTACAACAAATGTTTCGACGCCGATCGGGTCATTTTCAATGTGAACACAACATTACATAAATTCTCGGAGTATTCGATAAAATTATATTATCCAGTAAAACGTCGATTATTTCAGTATTCCCTATTATCGTGCGGTCCATATTCAAAACTAGCATCGTTGTTGTGTTCACATTGAAAATGACCCGATCGGCGTCGAAACATTTGTTGTACGAATATTAAATATTCTTTATATTGTAACTGGCTCGTACTCCTTCTTTTATTTATTGATTTATTCTGATTGAGTCATATTAATAATTTATCTTTGTTTTAATGTATTACAATTTATATATTATTTGCTTTTGATTGAAAAAAAAAATTATTATATAAATGTCGAAAATGATGATGGGTAATCATCGAGATCTATGAACACCATGATTTGCATAGTATTTCCAACTGATCATTATTTAAATCAGTCTAAAAGAATAATTTTAATAGAAAATAACAATCCTTACTAATATAGTTATTTTATTGTATAGGTTGCCCGCAATTCACAAGTAAAGCAGTATTTTGAAATAAAGGTATTTATATATTTTTCCATATCACCTTAAATTTTAAATTATATTTTAAATTAAATGATGTTATTACTATCACCAAGATCTATGAATGCTAATTAGTGATTAGCCATGATATTTAAATTTGCTACTTCTGATATAAAGTTTAGTAAAATATGTAAGAGATAGATAATATTGCTCAATAACTAATACAGAATTAATTTTGTTCAAGGTTTGCTAACTCTCTGAAATTTATGGCAACAACTCCAGGTAATTTTTATTTACTATAAAAATTTAATTTCTTCAATTATACATATAGGGTGTCCGGAAAATCGCCTGCAATACTTCGGTAAGTGATTCAAAAAGAAACTTTTGGCGTTAAGCCGGGAGCACATAGAAAAACGTAAGGCCGTAAGACATAATCAGTAAGGAAATCGTAACATTGGATTCGCTACCGGTCTTATGGTCTCTATTGTGATTGACCAATTCGCTTATTGATTACGTCTTATGGCCTTATGTTTTTGTATGTGCTATGGGCTTTACTCAGGATGCACTACGTGGAGGCATAGTCCATTTGGCATCCTTCTTTTTTTATTTCTTTATTTAAAAATTTTTCTTACTTTACTAGAGGGATGCTAAGTGGACCTTCTGCCTCCACGTGGTGCATCCTGGATAATGCCAAAATATTGGATGGATCCATATATTCGTTCGGTTTTTGTTAGTGCAAATTTTTTCTGAATATCTCCGGTTCTGGTTGCCTAATCGGGCAATCCAAATATGTTTTGGAAAGGTGACAGTCCGCTCTTTTCATCTGTTAAATTTGGTTTCATTGGCATTAGTTTTGTTTGTGCTATAGACCTGTGAACATGTCAGAGAATAAGGTGCATTTTCGGCACATTTTGCTTTATTACTTCAAGAAAGGCAAGCGAGCTGCGGAGGCCCACCGAAAGATATGCGGCGTATACGGGGACGATGCCTTAACAGAACGTGCCGCTCAGAAATGGTTTGCCAAATTTCGTTCCGGAGATACGAGTCTTGAAGATGGACCCCGCAGCGGTCGGCCCACCGAGGTTGATTCGAATGATATCAAGGCACTGGTTGAGCAAGACTGGACGCTAAAGGTGCGAGAGATTGCGGAGACACTTAAAATAGGTTATGGAACCGTACAAAGGCATTTGCAACAGCTTGGCTACGTGTCCCGCCTCGATGTTTGGGTGCCGCACAAGCTGACCGAGAAGAACCTGGCCAACCGCATATCCATCTGCAATTCACTTCTGAAGCGGCACGAGAGCGACCCGTTTCTCAAACGAATAGTGATTGGCGACGAAAAGTGGATCATCTACGACAACATAGTGCGCAAGAGATCGTTGGAAACCGCTGACGAGCCGCCGAATGCCATCCCGAAGGCCGGCCTGCATCCGAAGAAGATTTTGCTATCCATATGGTGGGATCATCGTGGTGTGCTGTTTTACGAGCTGCTTCCTCAGGGAAAAACGATCGATTCGAAGGTCTACTGCACGCAGCTAACGAAATTGAATCAAGCATTGCGACAGAAACGTCCAGAACTGGTCAATCGCAAAGGTGTCATATTCCATCATGACAACGCCAGACTTCACACCGCAATAATCACTCAGCAAAAATTAGTGCAACTTGGCTGGGATGTTTTGCCCCACCCACCGTATTCACCAGATCTTGCGCCATCTGACTACCACTTGTTCCGGTCCCTGCAAAACTCCCTCAATGAGAAATCGTTCGCTGATCAGACAGCTGTGAAAACGTACCTCGACCGGTTTTTCGCTTCTAAGCCCCAGACCTTCTATGAGAGCGGAATAATGAAATTGTTGGAAAGATGGCAAGAGATCATCAACAAAAAAGGAGAATATATCATTGATTAAAATTCATCCTTTGTATGGAAAAAACTTGTTTCATTTTAGTCTTCAAAAACCGAACGAATATAGTTTCAAATTCTTAATCTTCTATTATAACATTCTTATTCAATAATTTTTCAACGTTTTTGTATCATTTATGAAATAATATCGATTGCAAAATTAAATTACAAATGTTAATAAAATACTAAAGATAAAATGTATAAAATTAATATCTAAAATATTATTTTCATGGAAAATTTTACTAAAATGATGAATCTCTAAAGTATTAGATTGCCTCTTTAAGAGGGCGGATGAGAAATAAAAAAAAATCAGAACTATCGTTGTATTCCTTTTACTTATTATGAGATCAATACATTCCAATAATTTTTTTATTGAATGAATATAATTTTAGTACAGTTCTTTTATTTTATGCTTGAGATTTTCGTGTAGAAATAAAATCGAAAGTAAGGCTTACAATAATAATTATTATATTATAAATAATTTTTATTTGAGACGCAATTAAGGCTCATGTATATTCAACCTTTTTTTCTTTAAACACTCAGAAATTGTTTTATAAGGAATCATTTATATATTAAATATTCACACAGTTTAATAAAATTATTCGATTACAAAGTTACACAAAATTTCTTGTTTCGTCTTTCGTTATTTCTAACCAGTAAAATTGAACGTTGTTTATGATATCGAAGAAAATTCATTGATGTGGAAAAGGTGTGCTAATATGTGTTTACACGAGTAATGAAAGGACACTTTCCTAGACTGATTATCCTGCGGTGACAGGACCAAAAGGACTCGCGTTCGCTACGTGCTAGCTATTTCAGCCCTTTTGCCCGCTCTCCTCGAAGGGAGAAATCGTAACGCTTTAGGATTGCGGTTCGCCTCGTTTGCGAAGCTGTACATTGCTAACTGCACCGCTAACGAGACTGGCAGGAATTGCAATAGCCACGCGTCGCACTATGACGTCTTCTCGCCGTTCGACTGAATAAAGCCTGCGCTCTCGACTATGTACGGCTTATTAATTTAACTTGTCGCGTTGCGAAATGCCTTGGCGAGGTCGCAACTACTGAGGAAGCTGCACCGATCGATCGCTCGTAAACGTCTATTAGCATGTAGACGCTATTCGTGAATAGTAAATGCTGACTGCGCTCAGAAATGTTCAAGTCTCCAATAGAAATATTATTATTCATTTATCGTTGGAAGTATTGATATGTTGTATCCATAATTAATAATTAGAGACATTCCTTTGCGATAACAAATTAATAAGAATTTAACATATTAAAAATAACGTAAAAATAATTAATGAATTTTATAAAAAAATAGCATGATGTAACTTTTAAAAATGCTTTCGTTATAAACCGAGAAAGAGAAACGTGACGAAAATACAGGGAAATAAAAGCTTTCCAATCAAAGTAAGACGCAATATGGAACCCTTTGGCAAGTGCAACAGGGATTTAAGTATGCGGTGCATGGAACAAATGGGCCTCTTCCGGATTCTCATCCGGTCTTTACCTGATGGAAATATGCGAAAGAGGAAAGGAAAGCTCGAGGCGATATCCTTTGCGGCTTCTTCAGCTTCTTTAGAATCCCGAGATTCGATGAGATATATAGGAATAAAACATAAGAACTAAGAAGTTAGGATATAATGTTAGCGATACACGATAAAATTATATTGAGTGCATCAGAAAATAGCAGCTAATTTTATGCTGTAAGCTCGGTAAGAAAAAGATTTATATTGTAAATTGTTGTTTATATATTTATCATAAGATATGTATTTACTATAAGATAAATAATAAAATGTACGATACTTATTGTAAGAAACAGTTTAGATACTTTCATGATAAATTTTGCTTTATTATCATAAACATGCTTCTCCTTATTGTAATTTATGAATCGGCTCATTTATTTTTATGTTTTATATTGTGTCTCGCGGAAAAAGGGTCATAAAGTTTCCCAGGGAATTATGAGAGGTGATATATACCATTATGGAATTCTACGGAGGATGGAAAATGCTATTCTCCGAGTACTACCCGTTCCGAATTACAGCGATTTCCTGCAACTGTGCGAGGCTGCTCAGCATCCGTAGCGGTGGACCAGAATTTCGTGGAAATTATGACAATTAGCGCAATTAAAATTGGTTCACAACTAATTTGGATTTGCGTACCTACTGCATAGTGGTCGCGTAAACACGCGGATACAAGGCATCGTTTGTAAACAATGTGTAAATTAATATATCTTTTATTAGAGTATTGTATGTGTGCGCACGCTTTTATAAAGGAACACACGTTGATACAAATCGTGAAGCATTATGAAAGTATTTACAAATAAAATGAAATCGCATACTAAAGCTTTGTATTCGAAACAAACGAATGGTATTATACTTAACATAGTTTACATGAAAAACATTAAACCGTTTGCAATTTTTTTCATTGTTTCCATTATTTTCATATATCAAACTTGGAGTTATGGTCACAAAAATGTGTGTAAATATACCTATTATCTTGCAATGATCTTCCTTCTCTATAATTCTAAATTCTCAGATTTCATATAAAGAATTGAGAATTATATAAGAATAAGGGGATTATTGATCTCCTTTGGGGTTAATGCAAAGGCTAATAATGTTCGAATGCCTATGAACTGAAGGTTTCACAAAAATGATCATCTCCGGAGGGAAAAGAAAAAGGCTCAGACAAGGAGGAGGAAGCAGCAGAACTGGAGAAGGACCGTCGTTCTTGTTGGCGAAAAAAGGAGGGGTCGACTCATGAATAATGCGGGGGGTGAAAGCCGGCTGAAACAATTGCCGGGCGTCGCCCTACTCCAGAAATTACATCGTCAGATTTTCCGCGAAATTAAAACATTATACCGGGTGCCCGAGCTATCACGTGCCGCCTGCGTTAGTCATAGATTTTTCAGCGAATTTCTACTTCACGGTCTTGCAATTTTTAACATTAAGTGCCTCCGTAAGTGCAAGAGTAAAACGGTTTTAAGACATTCGTGTAACATTAGATAAGGAATACTTTCTCTTTTTATCTATTCATTATTTTTAAAGGTTAATTTTTTTATTTTTAATTATCAATTTAAAGAGGATATGTATATATTTTGATGTTAACATATATCAATATTTTTTTAGATATTTTTTTATCTCTTATGTCTTTCATTCTACTTATCTTAGTATGTTTTCCAACAAGCGACACAGATGACACGGTGTGACATAATAGATCGTTACATCCTTGTTTGCCAATGTTACACAAAGATGAAATGACCACTGTGTTGTACTATGTCGCTTGTTGAAAGACACACCTAATTTCACGTTTTGAAAATTTCAGAATTTTCTCTTTTTTTCTCTCTAATTAATAAGAATATCTAAAACACAGTGAATATTTCATTCTCTTCTATAGTCGCTCGTCTTCTCGTCTTTTCTCGTGGCCTTTTTCTACTTACGCGATACATCAGCTTGTCCTGGAGAAAAAAATCGCCGATTATGCGATCTAACTGACGACGATACGCCAGCAAGGACACTTTTCCTCAGGATTTAGTAGCTCCTTCTTCTGAGAACGAAATTGCGAGGCTGGCTCGCGTCAGGCGGCCGCTAAGCAATTTCTAGGATAATGTTGGCCTGGTTATTAAACATCCTTATAGTCGTCGTTTTCGGAGAACATCTTTTCAGGAATTGAAAGAGTCGCATTGGACTAAAGAGATAAGAATTTAAACGTGAAAGTCGTAATTACTAGAATCGTTAAAAAGAAGGTATAAAAATACGAAGACGATTTTTTAATTCATATAATATTAAATGTAAGTTTTTTTCTTTCGAATATTTTTGTATTTATGGATGCTGCAGTGTTCTATCTTTATCTGTTTTATCTATTTTTTTGTTGAAACTTTCTACATAGTTTTTGAAAAAGGAAGGCGTTATTTAGGATCCTTTCTCAATAGTTCCGCTTGCAGCTCTCGAGTAAATCCTCGTTTCAGACTGCGCGACCCTTGCCCGCTGCCTCAATGGTGTTGATTGCTTATCTGAATATGCATAATCGCGACGATAATGACAACGCTCGGGTCGAACACTCGGCCATACGCTGTGCATACGTAACGAGAATGCAATTCCCTTATGTGTCTATGTGGACCAACGTCGACAATAAAGCGATCATCGCTTCTTATATGGAAATTCGACTTGTGATCCTTCTGATAGCAAATCAAATATTTGTTGAATTTGGTTATCTTTTATTTCAATGTTCGATTAAGCATAGAAACGTTTTTCGATTATACAATGTATATGTATATTGCGCTTAATCTAACATTGAAATAAAAACATTGATGTAAAAATTTTATATCGATATATAAATAAATGAGAATTTGTGGAATTCGAATCTTCAATTTCAGAAAAGCAAAAACTAGTTTTATGTATATGTATAATTTTTTTCTTTTACGAAATTAAAAATTCAAGTTTCATAAATTTTCGTTTATTTATATCCTTCATTTGTCACTTCTTTCTTTTGCAATTTTTACGTTTTAAAAATTCCCATTTTTCTTCTCTGAGGGTCGTTTTTCACCCAACTTGCGTATCATATGTTTTATGTATTATGCAATGCGTTTATATGGCTTGTTATAAAAATGCGGTTTATTGGTGGATTTTATGCTTAACCAATGGTGTGTGACTAAACGTATAATTTTTTTCGATTCATCCGATGTGTTTATATGACAATATACTTGATATTAGAATTCGTATTTATATGCACGAGATAAAAGAATCTGCTTAAGACGTGAGCGGTATAGAAATGTTATAAATATGCGTGCGTGTGGTCTTATTTTTCTTCATATCTTTTACGCAGAACTTCGTAATAAATTTTGCGAAGAGGACAAATAAAAAGTAAAATTTTTTTGTATGCTCCCTCTTCTTTTTTTTATCTGCATTAGGAAATTGTAATTGTTTTATTGTTATTATCAATAATTAATATAATAGCATAAAAGTTATTAAGGATGTATTAGACGTACAATTCCTCCAAAGAAAATCAAATTTGGAAGTATGTTTAATATTTACACTTCAAATAAACTATATATATATGAA